TCCCCGTCCCTGGAGGGGTTTGAGCAGAGCCTGGATGTGGCATCAGTGCCATGGTGGGGGGGGACAAGGTGGGGTTGGATCAAGGGTTGGACTAAATTATCTTAGAGGTCTTTTCCAACCCAATTGATTCCACGATTGTGATTCTCTTGCATTTCACCTCATTGGCATTTCACAGCAGCTTCTGCAGAGAGAGGAGCCTCACTCTGGGCATTAATGCCATGTACTCTTTCTAAATGGCCCCATTAAAGTGGATGGTTGCTCATCTCAAAAGCAAGAACAAATCACATCTAAGCCATGTTTTGCTGTATTTGTAACCCATTATTCAATATTAACAATCCCATTATGCATCTCCAGTGACTGGTTTTAATGGAGAATTTGCAGGTCTTCTATGAGTTGCTCTGGTGAAATGAGCTTTTCCTCCTTGTCTTTCCCCAGGGTAACAGAGATGAGGGAACATTTGTGGATGAGGCCCTTGCTCAACAGGATGCTCAGGTGTGTAGCAATGTGCTGCCTTGCAGGAGCTGTTGGGTCTGTCTGTGTGAGCCGGGGGGAAGCTCTGCTTTTTCGGGACCTCGGGTTTTTTGAAGGGAGATGAGTAAGGCTGAAGCTGTGCTGGACAGCAGCCCCAGGTGGAGACTAGATGGGATATTAGGAAAAATGGATTGTCCATCCTGTGGGGATTTAACAGCCACGTGCATGTGGCACTTGGGGACGTGGGTCAGTGGTGGCCTTGGCAGTGCTGGGGGAATGGTTGGACTCAGTAATCTCACAGGGCCTTTCCAACCCAATGATTCCATGGAGTAAAAATCACATTATGTACCTGTGGTCTTCTCAATTAGCCTCATTTTGTCTGTTCCTAATGTCTCCAAGAGCCTGTATGAAGCTGGGGAGAAGAGATGGGGAACAGATGAGGTGCAGTTCATGTCCATCCTCTGCACACGGAACAGGTCCCACCTGCTGAGAGGTAGGACCCCTGTGATGTCCTGGACTCTGTTCCTTGAGTGAGGACAGTACTTTTGTAGGAGCTTTGTACTTGTTCAGTAGCTGATTGTGAGCCTTTCCTAAAACGACAGGTATCATCAGGGCCAATTCCATTCAATTCTTTTAGACTGCTTTAGTCCCTCCTGAGACAAAAAGGGAGTTGAGAAAAACATCCCTGCAACTTGCTCCAACCTGTAAATTTGAGATAATGAAGAGTGACTCCCATGGGGCAGAGCCAGGCATGGACACTGCCTTCATTAACTAGAAAAGCCTTGCAGCAGTGCTGGGGCAATTAGCAAGACAGCTGCTAATTAAAATGAATTATTTCTGAGGGGCAGCCCTGATTTAACTTACAATGTCACGATAATGGTGCAATGTTCACACAGAGCATGAGGAGCTTGATCTTGCAAAGTGATCCCCTGGGTTTACACTCTGTGCCCTGCAGCAGCTCACTGGCTCTTTTTACCCCTGACTCTCCCTCCTAGTTTTTGATGTGTACAGAGGGATTGCTAATAAGGACATCACAGAGAGCATCAAATCCGAGATGTCAGGAGACCTCGAGGATGCTTTGTTAGCTGTGGGTGAGTTCCCTGCTTTTAAACTTTGTCTACAAACTGATTAAATAATTAAAGAGCCTGCCTCTCGCCCTGGCTGTTTACACAGCTTCAGGAGGCAGATACTGTCTGTCTTTTTTGCAAGCCACATCTTTTAATCTTTGCAGATAAAACCTGGGGAGAAAGCTCTGTGCTTTATATTTCTTTCCCAAGGGATGCTTTGGGAGCTGACATTTGCTGTCAGGAAGCTTTAAAGCCTTAAAAATATTTTATTACTGCGCACTGGGCATGGAGACATCAAGTGACAGCAGGTCACTGACTCTGGATGTCTGTGCTGTGCTTGCTGACTTGCATCTTTACAGAATAAACACCTGCACTGAGAAAGTGCTGGAAGGGTTTGGAAGACCTTGTCCTTCAGTGTTTATTTGCCTTACTTCTCTTGTTCTTGTCTCCCTTCCAGTGAAATGCATGCGGAATAAACCGGCATATTTTGCTGAAAGATTGTACAAATCCATGAAGGTAAAGAGCTTTTGCTGGGGGATTGGTATTTTCCCCCCCCCCCGCCTTTCCATGCTTGAATCAGTAGCACGACAGCAATCATTAAAGAAAGAGAAACTTTGTGTTAACTGGGGGGGGGAAAGAAGTCTGAGCTTTTCTATGGACCTCCTTTCCCTCAGGAAGGCCAGAGCTCGTAGTGGATCACTGCCTTAATCCAAAAATGCTCTAATTAGGAACAGATCCTGCAGAAAGCCAAGTGATCAAACCTTTGTGTCTGTCAGTGACCTGCCCCGAACGCTTTGCAGCTGCAGCTGTGGTTGTGTTTCCCAGGGCCTGGGCACAGATGACAGCACACTGATCCGGGTGATGGTGTCCCGCTCCGAGGTGGACATGCTCTACATCCGCAGGGAGTTCCTGGCCATGTATGGGAAATCCCTCCACTCCTTCATCAAGGTGAGCCCTGCAGAGTCAGAAACACAGGAGACAGGTCCCCTCTCAGCACCTCTGGGGTGTTTTAGAGGGAGTGGAATTAAGGAGACTTTACATTTATGTACTGGAAACGTCCCTGAATGTTCTTGGTTATTAAATTGTCAAAGAGGATTCAAACCCTGTGACAAATCGTGTGTGCTGGAAGGAGTCCGGCCTTGTATGGAGCTGTGAAATTAATTGTGTTCCTTTTTTCTGCTCTCTCTAGGGAGATTGCTCAGGAGACTACAGGAAAGTTCTGCTCAGACTCTGTGGTGGGGAGGATTAAAGGAGGCCTAGGGGACTGTCTGGGTGATGGGAAGCAGCTGATCATAGAATTGTTTAGGTTGGAAAAGATCTTTCAGATCATCCAGCCCAATAATTATTTCTTTCATGTAATTTTTTTCCCAAATATCTTATTAATTGCTCTGATTTTTGCCTTAGGTTAGTTCATGCTCTGGTTGATAATGGCCATTCTGGTTGGCCATGGCCAATCTGCTTTTATGCTTGGCACACCCATTTGCCTACTCATTGGGCTGGTAAAGCCCAGCTTAAACAGAATGCTGTAACCAAAGATATAAAAGTTAAATTGTTTCCTGACCAGATGCCCCTTTGCTGTTGTGTTCACCAGCAACACTTGTCAACTGAAGCAAACCTGGATGCAGAGTGTGAGAGGCTGCCCAGGGAAAATCTAACCCATCAGTACCTGGAGAGTGCAGAACACAGGCTTGCTTCAGTTTTTCGAGATAATTAGGACACAAAGAACCCGAATATCTAAAATACAAGCATGTTTACATCTTAACTGGCCCTCTGTTAGTGTGGAGCATTAACAGCCTGGCTGCAGGGTATGTATATGTTGCCTAGAGATCTGTTCATGGGGAAGATGTCACTGGTGACATCAGAAAAGCCTCTTGCTGCCCTGGTTAGAGCAGCCCCGTGTTCTTGGTCTGCCTTCTTCACTCATGAGAGTATAAATAATAATGGTTATGTTACAAACCCTCCTCTAGATAAAGTGATACCATTGGAATGGTGCCTTTTAGGGAATGACCTGTCCCCAAAATCCCACCTCATGGCCTGGTGCTGGGGCAGCTCCTCAGACCTCCCTGGGGCAGCTCTCTCCAAATCTCCCTGAAGCTGCTCCCCAGATGTCCCAGGGGCAGCTCCCCAGTGTCCCTGGGACATCCCCCCAGACTCCCCCACGTGCCAGCCCCATGTCACAGGATCATGGAGGTGTTTGTGCCTGGGTCTCTCCTGGGTTTCCACACCAACCTCTGACAAAGCTATTTTCCCCAGACCCTCCATACCTGCCTGTTCACCTGAGCGCTGTTTTACTACAAATATGGGGTTCTTCTTTGGCTTAGTAACTTATTTTTTACTGCTGGTGAATAATCCTGTTCTGAAAAATCAGACTGAGGCTGGAATGTCACAGCTGAAACACTGAGGTGGCTGCACCCAATTCCATCACTCATTTTCCTCTGAAATAGGCTGCTGCTGGCTGGAATAGGAGATGCCTCTGTGGCCTTCAATAAAATAATTTTCTTTCTCACTCCTTGGGCTGCCAGTAGAGACACATTCCTGACTTTTGCTGGGAGAGGAGGCAGAGCTTTATCCAGTTCTCCCAAGGCCTCTGCTCAGGACAGGGAAAGGTCTGTGCCCAGCACAGGGGCTGCCAGAGCTGCTCGGGCGGGGGGTGGGTTCCAGTGCCTTGTGTCAGGTTGCTGAGCTTTGAAAAATGAATAAAGAGTTTGTTTCTGTACTTCCTGCCCTGGACTCCTGCGCTCCTCAGGTGCCTCTTTCCCTCCACAGGACCCTGCAGGGCAGGGTGGGGGGCCCGGGGCACTGTCCCTTGGATGGGGGCGGTTTATAAACCCCCACTGGGGGATCCCCGGTGTGGGGGGTGGGTTTGAGGGGGCAGCCCAGCACCCCCAGCTCGGGCTGGTGCTCCTGCTGCTCCCCCCGGGAGCCCTCCTGCTTTGGGGGCACCACATCCCCTCCATGTGCTCCTCATGCAGGTCCATTCTCAACACACTGCCAATGATTTCACCCAATCAGCACGAGGAGAGGCTCAAATCTACCCTAATCATTTATACAGAATCTGCTCAGGGGATTTTAATGGTGACCCTTTTGCTTCTGCCTGTTTCCAAAGTTCCCAGGGGAATCCACCCAGTGCTGGCAGCTGGATGTTTGGAGACGGGAGGCTCCGGACGTGGTGGCCCAGGGTCCCATCTGGATCACCAAACTGTTAAGGAGACTTCCCAGTCTGACTATTCCTGCGGCTCTCTGGCCATCACACTCCCAGCACAGAGACTTCCACTGCTGGGACTTCCACTGCCCAGGGCCTGATTTTACCCTTTGGAAGATGATGTATTTCCAAGGTCTCTACTGAAGTGCAGGAATGCAGAGAAGCTGCTGGAAGGTGACCTTGACAGACTCTCTAAAAGAGGGTGATGTTGTCAGTGGAGCAGGTAGATGGTTCTCTGCAGGACCGATGTTCAGTTCCATGGTGGGCACCCAGAGCTGTGGGAGTGGGAATAGCACAGAGGTTTTGGAAGTGCCAGCAGAGAAACACCCTCAGTCTGCAGCGTGATCCCAGAGCAGCTGCAGGAGGTTCCTTGTGTTCAGCTCACTGCCCCTGCTGATACCAGGTGACTCCTGCTCTGGCTTCCACCCCCTTCCCACAGGAGGTCAGAAACCCCAGGATATCAATAGTGTTGCCCAGGGCCGGAGGATGAGACTGTAACCTCGGCACTCCGGGGGATGGCTCCCTGTTCTGTTGTTGCAGGAATAGGGACTGGACTTGCTGGAGCCCAAGAGGCCCCTGGTTTGCCATGAAACGAGGAAGTTTAGTGAGAAGATGCAGACTTGAATACTTGCAAAATGTGGAATACGTAAAAATTTTCTTAAGAAAGGATGGTCTTTGATGTTTGATCCTTGTACACATTCCAGCCTAATCAATAAGGGAGATTTAATCCATTGAACAGCAGCCAACAAACAAGCTCTAAGTGCTGTGCAGGTGTTAGAAAAACAAATTACTTGCTGGTAGAATTGCCTCGTTAAGGTTTAGGGCTGGACATGCTCCAGTGATCCCAGGCCGAGGGGGAGTCTAACTGAGCTTGGGAAGAAGGGTGTACCTCTGACAGTGGGCACAAGGAATGCAGAATTTACAGGCCACGGAGACATCTGGCAGGACTCCTAAGGTAAACTGCTGATAAACCCAACTCAGCAACTGGGCTGAAATCAGCTCCAGCTGCTCAAAGGTGATTCCAGCAGGGGCAGATCACAACGACCAAGCCAAGAAACCCCCCAACCCAAAGGAAGAGAAGGTCGGGCATGCAGACTAACTAGTGTGAGAAGCAAATCATTAACGAACAGAAGACAGAATACTAATTAATAAGAAAACTATGTAACTGGTAGCCAATGAACACTAGTTCCTTTGTTTGCTAAAATGTATAAA